TGGGGCAAGAACTGCTCAGAGATATTGATAAAAGGCAACTGGTGAATGGAAATCCCTTCTTGGGCCCCTGTGGCACCCGAGGGCAAGCCGCCTGCAGCTCTGCGCTGCTGGGTTCGCAGCAGGCCAGCTCTCTGCCCTGCGTTTGGCTGCTGCTGTTGGCAAAACCACACGGGGTGATGCTCACATCTGCCAAAGCTGCAGGCAATTTTATTTCTAAAACACTGCTGTTGCCAGCTTGGCAGTGATGCCTCTTGCAATTCTGCACCAGGGTGAGCAGCTTAGCAGTGGCCAGGCTTGCCACAGCTCACCCCGAGACCCATCACCGGCTGCCCATCATGGTGGCTGTGCCCATCACATCTCCTTATGGGCCCTCAGTGGGGCCCAGCAAGGCAGCGTTGAGGGGCAGCTCGGATCAACTTTGGCCCAAGGGGTCTCCGCTCCTTAGGACACTGATGAGAAGCAGGGGAAGCCCCCTCCTCGTGGAAGCCCCCTGGCTCTTGCTCTTCTCACTAGTGGATGCCCCAAAGGCCACATGAGCATGATTTGGCCCCGTGCACACCGCAGAGCCAGCCTTGGGCCTTCAGCTCCTCCCGGCTCCTTGCTGCCCCCAGCAGTTACAGATGTGGTTTAACTCCAGGTTAAACACAGCCAGCTGTGAGATCACATTTAATTCTGCTCAGCGTGTGGTACGGAAAAATCAGCGTGTATAGCTGCTGCCCCTTACCCCACTGCTGCTGCCAGGCTGGTGAGAGCAACCCCAAGACAAGGGGCACAGGCATCTGCCCGGGTGCAAGGCACGGCCAGGAGCAGGTCTGTGCTCCCGCGCCCGCAGTATCGGGATGGGACCGGCCCGTCTCATGGGATGCCAGGGTTGGCAAAGACCCTTCATCTTCAGGGAGGTGGTGGGGGTCATCGGAGCAGGACAGGGGTACCTGACCAGCTGCTGCATCCAAACATGGTGTCCCCACAGCCGCGTCTGCAGTGGGGTCATTTCCACAGTTGGAGAGGGCTCTGTCCCCGGCCCTCCAGCTAGCTGGGGATGGAGAAGGAGTTGACCTGGAAGTTCTGCTGGTACCTCCTCAGCCAGGCCCGGCTTGCCTGGGTGCAGATCTCCTTCCCACTCCTCACCCTGAAGCTGGGGCAGAGAGAGGGTGGGCTTAGCAAGGGAGATGAGGACTGCCCGGCTGAGTGTCTGAGGGGCTCAGAGGTACAGAAGGTCAGGGTGGGACGCACCAAAGCAGGGTGCGGGGTATGGCAGGGTCTTTCCCCGACCGCAGGGCTGGGTTTAGGGTGTGGGTACTCACATTACAGCCTGGTGTGGGCACTCGGGGCTGGTGGGGTAGCAGGCAACGATGTTGTCTCTCTTGATCCTTCTCCTCTGGAAGTTGAAACAGCACTTGTCTGGCATGGCCGGGGCTCCTGGGGGGACAGCGCAAGCTCAGCTTAGCCTGGAGACCCCCGCCTCCCATCTCAGCCCACCTGCACCCCACGCATGAAGCAAACACTTCACTGTGTTCCCAGGGGCTGTCCCAGTCTCCCTGTCCCCGGGGACAGGGCGAGTGGCAGAGCTCACTCTGAGCCAGGCTCTGGCAGCACAGTGTGGCGAGGAGGAGGACGAGGAGGAGGAGGGTGCAGACCACCCTGTCCGACTTTGCCATGCCGGGCTGTGCGGGGGCTTCTCCGTTTTACCAGAGCCAGGACCGTCAGGCTGCTTTTATGGGGGAGCAGCAGGATCCAGCTTCCCCCAGGGCCAGTGGTTGCGTGGGCAGGGGGAGGACTTGGTCCCATGCCGTGTCCCAAAGCACAAAGGTCAAGCAATACTCATCCTCGCGCAGCACAGCCCTGGGAAGGAAAAAAACCTGCTCTCAGGCTGTGTGTTTGGAGCTTGGGATTTTTCCTGAGATCCTGCCTCCAGTGTCAAGGATGATGGCTGGGTTAATTCCTTACCAGGCGTTTACAACCTCTGTCAAAGAGGATTTCTCAGCTTATACTGCAAGAAGGAAGCCCTTGGTTGGTAGAGCCATCATC